ACGAGGCACTTAAAGATTACAAACCTCCGACGATTACGAATGTTATTAGGAAAGAAGTCTCTAAAGTGTGTGAAGACTCTGGCGTGGAATATTTGAAAACTAAAGAGGTCGCTAATATCAAGCAGAAGCTTGTTGGTCCAATGAATTCGCATCTTGTTGGAGATGCAGATTTAAAATCTGATATTTTAATTACAATCGAATTTTTAATAAAAAATAATTATCAAGTTGAGTCTTTTCGAAAACAAGAGTCACTTGGGCGTTTGCAAGATTTATGCTTTGCAAATCTGTGGCAAATAGAAAATCTAACACGTTACGGTTGGTTAACGCTAATGGATTCTACGCATAATACTAATAAGCACGGATGGCGTTTATTTACCTTATATATCCGCGATGGCTGTGGCTGTTGGAATGTCGGCGCCCACTTCTTTGTTAATAAAGAAAATAGTGAGGCTGTTGTGTCGGCATTAAGGATTATTCGAAAAAAATTTGCTCCACAATGGAGTCCACGGTATATGCTTCTTGACCAAAGCAATGTAGAATCCAATGGTGTCGCACTAACGTTCTCAGGTCTTTCTGTAGGTAGGGATAGAACAAATTTGTGCTTTTTTATTATTATTATTATATTTTATTTTATTTTATTTATTTTTATTTTTATTTTACTTTTTTTATTTTTATTTTTATTTTATTTTTTTTATTTTTATTTTATTTTTATTTTTATTTTATTTTGTTTATTTTTATTTTATTTTATTTTTTTAAAAAAAATAAATTCGTATAATTTGTAAATTATAAACAAAATAAATATAATAAATTACTTTGATTTATAGGAGAGCAAGAATGCGATGTTCTTCTTTGTACTGTACACGTCATACGAACATGGATAAAAAATATTTACCATGGCCCGACACTTAACAAAATGATCCATGCGATACACAAAAAAACACAAGTCGGATGTGAGGAAATTGTTCGTGATGCTATAAATACCTGTCCTGTTCAGGCCAATGCCAAGTATATCAACAGAAACTATCAAAAAAATTCGAGACAATGGTCTCTCTGGGCTCGG